CAGCGAAGCGTAACAACCAGCACGTATGTATTCGAATTGTCAAATATGTACAGCATATGGAATATTAAAACAAGAGAATAATGAACAGAGCAACGAATAGAGTATCAGTCATGTTCATCACAGATATTTACTATTTATGATATGGTTATTGGGAGGAAGCGATCTCAATCGTTCGTCATGGGGAATCGCATCACCTATTTCAAAAATGTTCAGGACCGCTGTTCTGAAACAGCCCGCACCACTTGCAAAATATTCATTCATTTACTTGACACTCCTCATCGAAGCAAGCAGTTTTGAGGAAAGCCTTAGGTATTGTGAGCCAACAGAATCTGGTGGAGAATATGGCCAACCAAATCGATCAACGGACAGTTGGTTAACGAAATTCTTCACTCGTCTGCGGCAGGGCGTGCCTTTTAATGTTGATAAGCGTTGAGACCGAAAATCCACCGACCTTATTCCTGAAGCACTTGAATATAACTTGCTTGCATTTCTGATTTAAATATTTTCGACGGTTGGGCAAGCAACCAACTGGCAATACCGGTGAATACTACTAGTAAATGTTGCTAGTAGTAGTTTTTGGCTTTCACTCATGCGTCCAGATGAAGAATCAAAAACCTGGTCACCAGCCCAACGATCATGTGTGGCACACGGGACTAGTCTGCTGCATTCATATGTTATCCCTCAGTCCTAATATTCTTTATCACATTTATTCGTGAACGCTGATCCATTAGTCGAGGTTGACGGTTGCTGCTCGCGAGGTGACAAGGCTTTTGCCAACCAACTGATTGATCCGGATAACCTTTCCAAACGTGTAGACACAGATCACACCAAATTCTGACAAAAGAGACCGACTCCGCACCTGGTTCTGCAACAATGCCTTGCACCTTGTTGCGTAAAATAAGGGGTGACGATTGAACAAGGTGTTTGTGTTTTGGGAAATCCTCCTTCAAGTTCAAAGTGATGTTCAAAAGTCAGAAACGCCAACAGTGCACCGTGAATCCGGTGAAAAAACTGGCAGTATTGCAAACGCCAGGAAACATGGAGTATACTTGTTATCGCACGCAACCCTCAAAAACCTACTTCGAAATGACAACATTTTGGTTCTGACGTGAGAAGTCAGCAGATTTTTAAGGTAAATGTAGTTCAATGAAGGTATCTGTAGAATTTGGTGTGGCATCACTCCTACGATTTTAACACAGTCATCCTGTGGGTTGTTGATCAGGTGGATGTCAAGCTGTTCGCCAAGCTTGGCAATCAGCTTGCAAGCGTTTCGTCACCATACGAGGAGACATCATCAGTGCGCAGTTGGGTGGGTACGTGCTTGCGTGCGTTTATATAGCATTTGAGGATAATCTGTTATCCTCTGACGTGAGTGGTTACTTTGGGGTGACGATTTACGGTTTGTTATCTTTGTTGCGTTGTGTTCGGCGTTCCATTGTGTTGAATGGTTATCCCAACGACTTCTATTTTTAGTAGTTTGTTCTCTGACCTCGACTGGCATTGTGTTGTGGTCTGACCTTCTGAAACTTGATTGGTTGGTCCTACCGCCCTATTTTCTCCATTATAACGTCCTGCGTCCGCTGGTTAATTTGGTGCTGTGGTTTATTGATTTAGTGCCTCCTGCAATCAAATTGATTTGTCCGTTTGAATAAACCCAACCTCCTCCTCCGCCCCAACTTCCTCCTCCCCCCCAACTTCCTCGTATGGTTACTTTTTCAGCTCAAAGGTCCGTGGCGTTCTCTTGCTCTTGGTGGTTGGTGAATGGGATCGATTTTCGATATGTTTGTTGACAGCTTCTTCGGTGGAGTACCACGTCTCCACAAATTCATGTTCTTTATTCCTTCTTGCTTAAGCCAGTGTGCGAATGCCAACACACAACGAAGGGGTGAGTGCTGCGCTCTTTTTTTCAACGTCTCATCAACAGTGAACTTCCTTGTCCGGACACGCCAATAATCGAAAAGAGAGATCAACTGGAACAAAGTCCCACAAAATTAAGACAGATTAGGGTGCTTTTTGGTTTGAGCGCAAATACAGTAAAACGAAACATGTTTACGTGAGATTTTTTCAGCCGACCCACAAAGGTTTTGTAGAAAAGAACATCTGCTGGTCATTCCAAAAGGTCATCGTTGACGGATTACCTGATGCCTAGAGAGACTTTCCGGCTATTGTCTTGGCTACATCAAACTTCTGAGCCATCTGTGGAAACATGATTGGTTCCCGCCGGACTTCCTGGATCAGTTCTTTTATAGAAGGTGTGGAACTGGCAAGCGTGTGGAGAACGGTTCTGGATCAGTCGAGGTGACACGTGTTGGTGTGCGGTCATCGGAAGGAAGGGTGGTCATCAGCTGAATTCCACTTGACCTCAAGCCCCCTCAAACTAAATTATCCGAGCACTCACGACCCCACAGAGACCAGGGAAATCTACCAGTGGCAACCGAGGTGAATCATCAACTGAAGCACCCTGAAGTTGAAGATTAACGAACCAAATCCGATTGCACTATCCGAGAAGAGCCGCTAATTGGCACTCAACACTGATCTAGTGTGATAATCTGAAGAGGACTGACTTACTGATTGGTTCCCCGTCTACCTTATAACCTAGCCAATTTGGTGACCTGCTCACTTGGCCTGATGAAGCTTTTGTGTCAAAAGCGAAACGTTGCCCAAATAAGAACTACCTGATTGTTTATCGAGCTCTTCTGAAACAGTTCTTTTATACTTTCCAATTACTTTCCCTCTACTCAGAGCAGCAACTTACTTCTGGCCCCCCAAAATCGACTGTAATGCACGTTTCAATTGTGGTAGACTCATTCAGTCTATAAAGCTCCACAGTTGTCTAAAAAAGCACAAGAATAGTACAACTGAGCGAACATGGAACATTTTACTTGGTTTGAGCGACAAAATCGTGCATCGAATAGAACCAGGATGCATTGGGTGCACTTTGGTTTGGAAACCGAATTCGTTCACTCCCAAGGTTGCAACAATTCATCATCATCATCATCATTGTCAGCTGTACTAACCGCGTACTCGTCGTACAGTGGTTGTAGCTGCCCCAGTTTCGTTCACCGATGATTTGGGGGGAGGTGGGTAGCTGCGCATTGCAGGCGGGAGCTGGTAAGTTGGTGCATAAATCCAGCACTGTCAGTGAGCTGTCAAGTGGTGAGGGGGTTGGAAAAGGAGCTATGCATTAAAGGCAATAGCTTGGATGCACGAGCGCCATTGAGGGCGCGACTGGGCCATATCTGACAATGTCTCCAACCATTGATGTGGCCCGTCTCGGGGTCCCCATACAGGAAGACGGTAATGACCAGCACAGTTGAGTTTAATGGTAATGGCTTTCACACTTCGCTGCCAAGTCATTGTTTGACTGCCTCT